TTATTATGATTCCTTTTTATTTATATTATCATGTATATGCAAATTTTTTTATTAAAATTATATATATATGTATACATATACTGTAAATATACTACAATTTTTATATTTTTAAATATATTAATATTTTTGATATTTAAATCTTCAGTTTTTAGCTTTCTAAAATGTAAATGTTTATTCCATTTTTAAATCTTGTGAGATTAAAATGTGTACTTTTTTAAATACGAAAGAAAATATATCAATGAAAATTCAAAGTCAAGCCATTCCGAACTTATCAAGAAGTGCGTAAAATTACTGCTATCAATTTGAATGAATGATGTGTAGAATGCTTGCTGAAAAATTTGGGGTGTCCAAAGATACAAATTATGAGAAATTTTAACAAGATGAAAGTCTGCACTTGATTTGTGCCACACACCGCTTTACAAAACCGTCACTGTCTTACGCGAATTTTTGGCCAAAAAACAAGTGTATATCATCTAGCATCCACCGTATTCGCCAGATTTATCACCATATAATCATTTCCTATACCCAAAAAAGAAAATAGCATTGCAAGGAACGTTATACAATGACATTGAAGCCATACAAGCCGCCGTGACGAGAGTTATTAAGACTATCTCACAGACGGATTTACAGCATTTTATTGATACAGAAAGGACATATTTTGAATAGACATTTTGATTTTTGGTAAAATAAACAAGTTTTCTTTTTTAAATAAAAAAGTTCGATCTTTTTCTCGCACACACATTAGGTACATATAAAAGAAAAATATTCCTATTAAGAATACACATATATTACATTAAAACATATATTCAATCAAATTTACTCAATCAAATGAAATATATAATTTTGCGCTTTACTAGATATTTTAGCTATTTTAGTAGACCAATAGTTTCCATAAAGAAAACTCTCTACAGCCCTTTATTATTATGTGCTGTTATATTGTGTTTTGAATTGGGTATATATATTGAGCAAAAACGAACTTAGTTAGAATGTAAATTGTGAAGCGTTCGTATTAATATTTATTTCGTGCTCTTTTTTTTTGCGTTTGCACCGATTTTGTATGTAACTAAATTTGATTTTTGCCGCATATGGCAAAAACAAAAATATTGGATACCAACATAAAAATTGCCGTTTCTTTTAAAAAATTTAACCACTTTTTCCACAGATGATCTGTCCAGCGTTTGATTGTGCATTATTAGTCGCTTATATCTCCCTGATAAACTTTAGATTTTAATTTCAGATGTTAATTTTAATTTTAATTTTTTATTTATATTTTTATGTTATTGTATTCTATTCTATTTTATGTTATAATTTATTTTATTTTATATTATTTTATCTTTTTTTATTTTAGCATATTTTATTTTATCTTCTACTGTCTCTTATCGATGAAAAGAGTCTTTCAGTAGATTCTGATAAATAAAAATAAATAAAAATAAAATTTTTGATTTTGACATTAATTTATTGCACTGTCAAATTCAAGAATTATATAAACTAGATTAAGTTAATAAATTTAAAATTAAAAAAAAAAGAGAAATAATTCTTTTATATTTTAAATAATAATGTTAGTGACATTTTCTTTTATATATAGAGTATAGAACTATACGGCTTTTTTTGTTTGAAAAAGGGGCTAAAACGTCTTTACCCTGGTACCGGTTAGCTGGAACAGCTCTCCGACTCGCATAGTTATATTCACTCACACTTGCATGTATCGTCATATATACGCAGATGTCTGTGCAGTTGTCGTCTCTCTTTCGTTAGATATGTGCGTTACACGCGTGTAAAATGACTACACGCGTCGGAACCTTTGATCTCAACCATTCATCACTGCTTGCGAGAAAAAGTCTAATAATATTACATGTACGGACCTCACACACATACACACACACATATACTTATGTATATCTATGTTCATGTATACTAATATATGATGCGTACTTAAAACCTCATAGAAGTACTACGGATATAGTGTACTTCTCTCATCTTCGTGAAATGTTTTATCTGCGTTCAGTGAAAACGTTTGCGATTTTGCCAAAAATAATGACAAGCATTTCAACCTATTGAGAGAGAGAGTTGCATATATCCAAATTATCTTAATATTGCGTATATTGTGTTGGATATATTAAAGTAAATAAACTTGATTATAAAATAAATATTTGCATAAAATCGTGCAAAATTGAACCAACCGCGAATCAATCATGGCTATTTGGCAAACCAGCGCAACAAGCAATTAGAGTAAATCCGTTTACGCAAGAAATCCTCGATAAGTAGAAATTTCGAAGCGTATTATTTGAGCGAAAACAAACCCGAATTACCTGAGAATGTATCAGCAAATGCGGATTTCCTTTTAGTAGCTTTGACGAAAATCTTCTTGCAAATATTGTAACATGATTGACAGCATTAACGAAAATAGACCAGAAATGAGATAAAAGAGACATTAGCAGAACTCTTAACGTATTCTTACAAAGAAAATTTTCGTTAATCTCATATAATAATAGTATTTTCGATCCCGAAGAAATTTATAGAAATACGAAAGGCAATATGCTTTGCATACTTCAAAACGCATCCGCAATTATCTCTACAGATGCAGTCGATGAAGAAATCAGTTATCTTATTGTTAGAAATAGTATCAGACAAATAGATGAATAGTAGAGGTAGAAATGTACACACGAACTTTTTGCGATTCATCAAGAAGAAAGAGGAGAAAGAGGAGAAAGCGCGATCTCATACAAGGAGTTAGAAAGATGCGAGCGGAAATGAATAAATTATGCGTGACGAGACTCCGCACAAATATAGATGAAAGAAATCCAAGAAGCCAGGAATACGATAACGACAGATTCAACGAAAGACCTATAGAGAACGATGTAAGAAACTCCGACGAAACGCCGTCAGTACGATCTGCAATTAAAGAAAACTAGATATATGATTTTTTAATCCGACGGAACCTCATAGGATATATTACACGAGTTTCTAAGCGCAAGCACATATGTCGTCAAAAATATTAATTCTACTGAAGAAGAAATATTATTAGAAGCTATTCCGTACTAAACTAAAAAGAAAAGCAATGTTAGATTTTCAAACGTGAGATATATAATAAACTTTTGAAGAATTAAAACAACTAAAAATTTGTTATCAAATAAAACAAGCGAAGTACAACACATTTTATATTTCAAATTTAATTCATCGATAGCCGAGCATACTTTCAAACACAAAAACGAATTATTTTAGACACAATTAAACAACAGGGTTCAGAAATTTTTAACTTGTGTGACACCACGAAATAAAATAATTCGTACATTTGCAACGTTTTACACTCTAAAAAGCGATAATTGATACGAGTGCCAAGAAAAAAATAAAGGTTCTACCGCGTCGCGATCAAATAATTATTTGAATTCGAATAAATACGATCATTCTATACGGGACAAGCGTGAAACTTGACTCTTTAATGCTACAAAATGTAGAAAAATTAGCCGAATCCGATTGTTGAAGCAATCGATATTTCAAATGATTTTCATTATCAAAACCAGGAGGCCACTCTCAAATGAATATGATGAATTTGCGATGAATATTGTTTTTTAAATATACGACTGGGAACAGATCAATCGAATCGATGGCGGAAAGTTATTAAAAACCCCTGAGCCGATAACAAAAATGATAATAATCAATCATATGAACAATGGAGAAAGAATTAAAAAACAAGCAGGGCAGTCATTTACAATTGGGCATCATTTAAATTATATATTGGGTTAATACATATTTACATTATTCTTATACTTACACACTAATATATACATTTTCAATCTGCCCAATTGTAAATGGCTGCCCTTGTTTCATATATCACCATATGAGACATAGCCGTGTTAGCAGTGTATAATATATAGAAGTTTGTGGTTTAGAAAAATTATAAAATAATAAAATAATGAAATCATACTGAAGTTAGTTGATAAAACTAACTTCAATATAATTTTTGCCCGTCTACACTACGGACTCAGATGAACCACAAGTAAAATTATCCTCCGGTCTGGAAAGGGCATTTGCGACGTAGCGCATATTGGACGATACAACTATAGAAACGTAATTTTATTAAGCATTATACTCTAACATTAACGAATCACCATTGGCGCACAGCGTCGCGAACGTGTTAAAAATGTTATATTTCAAAAAATATTATATTTGCGGAATTGAAACTTGATAAAAATGAATGTCTTAATCACACACACATCTTCTATTATATCTATTATTTATACTCTCTATTCATACTATAATAGTATATACATAGTATATATAAATATTATCTCTACATTTGAAAAATGAAATACATTTTTTTTTTAAATTGAATCAGATAATTGATCAGATAATTTGCAATGCAGATAACAAATACTTATTTTTGTTTTTAAATGATCTAATTTCGCGAATGGCTCTAAATGTGATGCAGTATCTTATACATATAACCCAAACATTAATTATTAGTGAAATGGAATAAAAAATATTAATAGAAAAAAATTAACATTTGTTTTTTATCTAGCAGTTATTTTATTAGCAGTTATTTTTTATTTAATTTAATAAATATAGATACTTATATCAAAACTTGTATATATTAAATATATGCACGTATCTAAAATTCTAAATTCCTATAATCATAGGCATTGCATTGTGTGACTATTATGGTTAATAAGCATTAATTCTATTTTCTCTCCCTTCTTCTTTTTCTGTCTCTAATAACTATTAATTATAAAAATTATTAAACATTAACTATTTTAAGATATGTTTAAGGGAAGAAAGAACTATTTTAAGATATGTTTAAGAAAAGAGACATATATATATTCAAACTATGGATAGATTAAATCGTAAAATAAGTTGCAAAGTATATTGATAATTAACCAATGTTTTTTTTTTAAATATGAAACTGTGATTATTATTTTTCTTTAACTTTCTTTTAATAATTAATGTAGTAATATTGATAATGTAGTAATATTGATAATGTATATTGATTGATTATGTCACAGAAAACAGCAACATTGAAATTGGAGCGCAACCGCAACAACATCAACAACATCAACAACAGCAACAACAGCAGCAACATCAACAGCAGCAACATCAACAGCAATATGGAGAAGTAAATCAGTTGGGTGGTGTATTCGTGAATGGTAGACCCCTTCCTAACGCTGTCAGATTGAGAATTGTCGAACTTGCACAGCTGGGTATAAGACCATGTGATATCTCACGACAACTACGTGTCAGTCACGGATGCGTCAGTAAGATACTGGCACGCTATCATGAAACGGGTAGTATACTGCCAGGCGCGATTGGTGGTAGTAAACCGCGAGTAACTACACCAAAAGTCGTGCAATATATTAAACAATTAAAGTTAAAGGATCCAGGGATCTTTGCCTGGGAGATTAGGGATCGACTGCTATCTGATGGCGTTTGCGATAAATACAACGTTCCTTCAGTGTCCAGTATATCGAGAATATTGAGAAACAAAGTCGGCATAACGACGACTATGCATCATCATCCACATCATTCAGCTCATCATCATCATCATCATCTTTATGCAGCCGCTGCAGCGGCAGGTGCAGCTCTTTGTCCAGTGCCGTATCCACCGACACCATATCATCCGACGGTACCACCTTCCATCACGCATCATCATCATCAAGGTTAGTATTTGGAGATTTATGCATAGCGATTTCGAGCGAGAGATTTTTCTTTAATCTTGTGTATTAGTGTCACTCAATCAATAAAAACTACAAACACTTTAGTTAAATCAAATATTTAGTATAAATAAAATAATTCTCATATAAACAATTAAATTTCATAATTTATTTTTTATATAATTGTGTTTAAATTAATTAAATGACAGTGCAATTTACCTTTTTTAAAAAGAAATTAAATTAAACAGTGATTAAAAAGCAATTATAAACACAAGAAATTAAATTAATCAATGATTAAAATAATTACACATACACACAAAGCAAAAAATTATAAATTATAAATGTATAATATATTTTTACAATAAAAAATAATATATTAATAAAATATAATCAATTTCTAAATTATTAACTTTTAAGTATAACTATATAACACAGATAAAAAATTATACAAAAGTGAAAAAGTGAAACAAATTGTGAAATTTGGTAAAAAATTGACAGTAATATTCTTTGGTATAATGTTTTTTAATAAGGGGATACAAGAACTAGTATACATATAATTGGCTAAATTGTGTTATGAAAAAAAAGTAAAATAAAATGTGTGCAAAAATTTGACAACAATATATTAACTTTTCTTTCAGAATAAAATTTTTTATTACTATTACTATATTCATATATTTTTTATTGCTATTACTATTTTAATATTTTCTGTATTTTAACCTCATGTATAATAGCAAGTTAATTCTTTTCATTGTTGCGCCCGCAAGTCGATCTCGATTGATTAATCTTCGCGTCATTCACTTACAAGCAAAGAATAGTTTACAAGCAAAGAATAGTTCTCGCAAAGAATAGTTTCCGGAAATAACAACACATTTTAGAAAAGGAACTCGATAACTTTAATAAAGAATTAAGAACACAGAATGTAAAATAGGAAAATATTGCAATAATCATAGTCGTCGGAAAAATGTGTCCACATGGTAAGATAGCAGTTGCGAGACTCCACAAGATGACGATTCTTCATAAAAGATGTCTGCCCTTGTTAATCAACAACCCCGCATTGACAACGCGCTCGGAGATGATCTCCTGGAGACGGATACAACGGATATCAAATATAACCGCCAAAGATAGTTTCCATGCAGGGACAAAACACGCAAGGGGCGCAACAATATATATTGTGATTTTTATATTAATATTATTTTGGTAATTTTATTTTATTATACATATATAAAAAAGAGAGAGAGAGAAAGAGAGAAAGAGAGAGAGGGGTAGTCAAATGTGAAACTCGTTAACAATACAAAAACAAATATAGAAATTTTTAAATAGAGTTGCGCTTAACAAATTTAACCATATATATTTCTCTCTGCAAATGTTATTTATATCATGTTTATTTTCACGCCAATCTTATTATATAATCTGTGATATTTTTATACATTTTTAATATAATAATGTTACTATTATACGAGAATTACAGAATATCTCGAGGATAACAAGATCGTAACATAAAAATTTGTAAAAGATTAAATAGCAGAAGTATTTGCAACTTTTTATTTCAAGTAGTAGTTTTTGAGATATTAATTTCAGTCTGATCAATTACAAATTTAATCTTACGTACATCACTAATACTAGTGTACGAACGACACACGAACAAGGGATTATCTAAACATAACCAATAGTTGTCCAACTTTAAATTTTTATATCTTAAAAATCATGGACATACACGATCTGTCCCAAAAGTTTCCGAACTTTCTTCGTACAGACGGTATTAATAGCGCTATCTGTTTAATCAAGGTCACGCTGTCTTCGTAGAAGCTTCGTTAAAAATTCTGGTAAGTTTGATCCAGGGAATCGATTCTGTAATTCAAGTGAAGGTGAAAATTACAAAAATGAGCGATTTTATTAGGTTTGGACCAAAATTTTCTAGTAAATTCGCCCATTTTTGTAATTTTCCCCTCACTTGAATTACAAAATCGATACCGAGATCCCACTAATAGCTGATTTAGGGGACAGAAATGAAATTATCTCTTTGACACTTGTTAAGAAATCACCATGGAACAAAGAGCCAACATCAAATTCTGTGTTAAATTGTGACTTGCTAATTCCTGCAATATTCTCGATGAATCTCACGGACACGCAACGATCCTTTCTGATCAATTCACAAACTTTTTCTACGGTTTTGCCGGTTGGACTGATCCATGGCTATTCACTGTGCTCGTCGTCTTCCAGCGATTCTCTGCCGTCCCGAAACTTTGTGAACCACTCATAAACTGCCGTACGTGATAGTGCTTGATCCCCATAAGCCTTCCATAACATTTCGAATGTTTCTGTAAACTGTAAACGATTTACCCAATTTAATACAGAATTTGATGTTGGCTCTTTGCTCTATGGTGCTTTCTCGACGAATGTCAAAAAGATAACTTCACTTTTGCTCCTATAGTAAATCAGCTGTTAGTGGAATCTCGATTAAACTTACAAGAATTTTTAACGAAGTTTCTACGAAGATAGCGTGACCTTGATTAAACAGATAGCGCTACTAACAACGCCTGTACGAAGAAAGTTCGGAAACTTTTGGGACAGACCGTGTATAGGATAAACCGGCCCCTGCCTTGAGAGACAGCGTGCAAACGTATGAAAGGCAAAAATAGTATTCTGTCTCTTTCTTTTGGTGCGTAGAGGGGATTAGAGTAGGGGAAGATGAAGACAAAGTGAGCAAATGCCTCCCTTTCATGCACATGTATTCTCCTTATTCGCTTTTATCCCTACTATTCTGACTCAAGCAAGGACAGAAATAGCATTGTGGGGATTGCTGTCCTTCATATGTTTCGACACTGTTTCTCGGCAAGGGCCGGTCTATCTTATATGTCTATGTTAAAAATTATTTCTTAAAATAAAAAATGACATGCACTTTCATTACTTAGTTTTTCACGAACTTTTATGCTGCAATCTTATTATCTTGGAATTTCGGGACATCCTGTATATAGTATTACATTAATATATGGTAGCACTACATTATGACTCACTATAATTCTTGTGCTAAAAAGTAGAATTTTTAGAAATTTTATTTATTAATATATTTCATCCCTCTTCCCCCTCCCCCTAACCTATCATAACATATCATAAGATTTTAAAAAATATGTGCTAATTTTAGAAACTCCTTTGATAAGCTGATCTGAAAAATAGGATCAGAAAAAACTCTCACTCGAAACTATAATGGACTAATTTTAGTATTTATTTATGATATACAGTGCAAAAAAAAATAATAAATGTTATTTATGTTTGTAGCACTCGCATGAGTATATTAATAATCATAAGCATCATTATTCAAAAAAGTATTTATCATTATTTTTTAAAATATATATTTAATTCTAATAATAAATTTGCGAGATATCAGACAAGAATTATATCTATTTTTTTATCTAATGCCAGTATTAATTGTTGATATCCAAATTAAAAAGATTTTATTATATATTTATTTGCTATTGCTGCGTTTTCAGTTGGACCTTCGTCAGCGAATAAATTGTCACCATCGTCGCCTACAGTTCATACTAGCGGCGGACATCAAACGGCGACTAACAACGCTCTGCAATGGCCAAGTCCTCACACTGTACACGACATTCTGGCTAACAGCTGTAACATACAGAATTCTTCGTCGTCTCCTTCGCCAACTTTGTCATTATGCTCCACGATCAACAACAATCATCATCACAATCGTCATAACGATAGTTCCGCTAACAATAATAGCAACAACAGCAATAGTGATAATAATAATGACCGTAGGACGTCAAGTTATCTTCATCCACATCACCCTCACCATGCACATCACCATCATCAACAGTATTATACTTCTGCGTTATATCATCATCATCATCACTCGGATACTATGGCAGCGGCCACCATATCATCCACTCTCTCTGTACAATCTATCATGTTGCAGTCTTCAGGCACAAGTCAACCAGCCAGCCCTTGCAATTAGAAGAAAGAATAACATTTTGTTTCATAAATACAAAATTATAAACAATTAAATAATCAACGATTAAATGAGTGTTTTTGGGCGCGAATAAATGTTTTTAATATATTTTTACGCATAGTATAATTAATTATAGTAGAACTGATAATGCAATGAGGATGTTCGTATTATTAAAACTTTTTGTGTTAAAATAAAGTTTGAATAAAAATAACATCCATTATTACTGTTATTTTATCACCTTTGCGGATAATGATTGTAATTGCAAACAAGAAAATACACACTGAAGATTCAGGCACCGACGAGATATCATATCAAGAACCGATGGTCTTATGAGATTTAGTGACTAAAAAAAAACTCGCTGCGCGTTATTTTAGTTCGTCCAGTTATTGTTTTATTATCGAAAATGTATAGATCTTTTATGTAACTGCTTCAAGAACAACAAAATAAACATTTTATTGTAAAATTACTGTTTTATTATCGATGATGCAAAGATTTACTTAATACCTACAGTAGCGCGTGGCGAGTTTTTTTTTCCAGTAATATGCTAAATCTCGTAGGACTATCGATCTTTAATGATATCTCGTCCGTGTTTTTTATAATAAAACAATAACTGGATGAACTAAAATAACCGTATGAATTAAATAATTCGTGTAATTATCTTCATGCAGTCAAACGGCCGGTAATGTCAACATTTTTCAATTACCTCCGGGCCCAAAATTTCGGTCTGCAAAGTAAATTATTATGGCCGGTAAAACAGGAAGGTCCGGCATCACCTTAATCCACTTGATGGTTACGAAAATTTACCCAGGGCTGACGGTCTTTAATAATATCTCGTCGGTGGTTCAGGGTAAGGTAAGATTATATAAAGGAAGGTTAAGTCACGAGCCTTCGCAACCCATTGTGCAATGCAAAGAATCGATGTGTGAACAGTCGTTATTAAAAAGAGATGCTAAATAAGGTAAGTTGTTATTGGCTCAATATATCGATTCTTTGCATTGCATTAACTCGGATCTACAATAGATATAGTAAGCTTCAAGCCATAAGAAATTGATCAATTACAATCAAATGTGAAGAGAATAATCAATTGTTATTGGTAATTTCTTTACGGCTTAAAGCCCGTATCATACTACGCATTAAGATTGAAATTTGACCAATCAGGACAAGGAAATTTAATTCCTTTTATCCTGATTAGTCAAATTCCAATCTTTAATTTTCAATCTTCAATTTTCAATGCGTAGTCTGATACGGGCTTAAAGCTCGTATCAGACTACCTATTGAAAATTGAAATTTGACCAATCAGGATAAAAGGAACTAAAATTTCCTTGTTTTGATTGGTCAAATTTCAATCTCAATGCATAATCTGATACGGGCTTAATGCTCGTATCAGACTACGCATTGAAGATTGAGATTCAAGATTCAAGATTGAAATTTGACCAATCAGGACAAGGAAATTTAATTCCTTTTATCCTGATTAGTCAAATTCCAATCTTTAATTTTCAATCTTCAATTTTCAATGCGTAGTCTGATACGAGCTTAGGACTTATTACACCTATGCAGCCTTGGGGCCCTGGGACCGATTATGTAACTTTTTTCCTAGGGCGGAAACGTGAAAAGCTGTGTTCCGATTCCCCATCCGGGTGCACCCGATATTATAGTATATGTCACGTACACTATAATATCGGGTGCACCCGTCGGTTCATCTAACCGGACTTGGGGCCAATTTCACCAAGTCCGGTTAAGCCCGTATCAGACTACGCATTGAAGATTGAGATTGAAGATTGAAGATTGAAATTTGACCAATCAGGACAAAGAAATTTTAGTTCCTTTTGTTCTGATTAGTCAAATTCCAATCTTTAATCTTCAATCTTCAAT